CCTTCCCCTCTGGCAGGTCCACTAATTTCCAAGTTCTTGCTTTCATTAGGGCTTTCATCTCTTCATTCATAGCTTCTTTCCACCTTGGATCAGATGCTGCCTCTGAGTACCTAGAAGGAACACGTACAGAGGAAAGAACAGACACAAAAGAGTGATAGGCAGGAGATAATTGTGAGTAAGAAACAAAATCAGCTATGGGATACCGGGTGGTACAAGAACGGACAGGCTTACGAAGAGCAATAAAAAGATCCAAATCCGAAGTATGTGAGTCAAATTACCTTGAATTGCAGAGACATATTGATCTGAGTCCAACTAGTTGCAGTCATGAGGTTGAGAGCCCTTTTTCCTTCTATTGTAGGTAAGTATCTCCTTCTGTTGCCTACTGGAATCTTCAGGAGCAGCTGCTGCATCAAGAGGAGTAACTGACACATTTGGAGCCTTACTAGGTTGACCCGGAATGTCACAGCTAAGAGTAGTGGAAGGTGATGGAAGACCTGAGTCAGATAGGGGAACAAAAAAGGAGGGAGAATGAGAATCTTCTTCCAATCCACTAGTCTCCCCCTAAAGAGGATTCTGAGAAGACTAGAAATAGGGTTGAGACTCAAAAAAGACTACATCTCTGGTGACATACTTTTTCTTGGAGACAGGATCATAACACTTGTACCCCTTTTGTGTAGGAGAGTACCCCAAAAATATTCCCTTTGTAGCCTTAGGATCCAGCTTGGTTTTCTTTGGATCCTTCACATGTATGAAACATATACAGCCAAAAACCCGTAGGGGAAGAGGAAATTCTGGAAGAGTGGGACACAAAACAGAGAAAGGGGTCTTCATACCCAATACCTTAGATGGCATCCGATTTATCAGGTATGATGTAGTGAGTACAACTTGGGACCAGTATTGCTTGGGCACTTTGTGCTGGAATAGTAGGGCTCAAGCTGTCTCCAATAGATGTCTGTTCTTGCGCTCAGCAACTCCATTTTGCTGAGGGGTATTAGCACAAGATGATTGGTGTAACATGCCAGCATCTTCCATGAATGAGTTCAGGCATTTTTCAAAGTATTCAACAGCATTGTCTGACCGAGATTGCTTAATCTTCTTATCAAATTGTGTTTCAATCATCTTGCAAAATGCCATGGTTATCCGTGGTACTTCATCTCGTCCTTTTAACAGATAAATCCATGTGCACGGAGAATAATGGTCAATAAAACTGATAAAGTAACGGAAGCCATCAATGGAAACAATGG